AGCATTACAATTCCACTGATAAGACTTTACCTATAAATCAGCTGCAAAAGTATGCTTACATCAAAAAGATATATGGGGTTGGCATGGTTGGCACAGCAGGTTAAGCAGCAATGTGGGATAACTGCAATCCCTATCAGTGTGCTGGTTCAAGTCCAGGCTGCCCTGCTTCCAATTGAACTCACTGTTAGTGTGTCCTGGGAGGCAGTAGATGATGGCTCAAGTGCTAGGGCTCCTTTTACTCATATTGTAAATGGAAAATGGAGTTCTGGCCTCCTGGCTTCTATCTGGCCTAGCCCTGTCTATTACAGGCATTTGAGGAGAGGCCTAGCACAAGGCAGGTCTCTCTCTCTCTTTTTCTGTCTCTCTCTCTCTCTCCCTTTATTTCAAATAGATGAAGAAAAGTAAACATTTTTTTTGACAGGCAGAGTTAAACAGTGAGAGAGAGAGAGACAGAGACAGAGACAGAGACAGAGAGAAAGGTCTTCCTTTTCCGTTGGTTCACCCCCCAGTGGCCACTGCGGCTGGCACGCTGCGGCCATCGCACCGCGCTGATCCGAAGCCAGATCCTTCTCTTGGTCTCCCATGAGGGTACAGGGCCCAAGGACTTGGGCCATCCTCCACTGCACTCCTGGGCCACAGCAGAGAGCTGGCCTGGAAGAGGAGCAACTGGGACAGAATCCGGTGCCCCAACCAGGACTAGAACCTGGGGTGCTGGTGCTGCAGGCAGATGATTAGCCAATTGAGCCGTGGCGCTGGCAGAAAAGTAAACATTTTTCAAAGGTGCCTAAATAAGCAAATTGCTTATAATACTGTAAATGATCACAAAAATAGAAAGTAACCTAAACATTTATAGTAGGACACTGTTTAAAAAGTATGAAATAGAGCCGGCGCCGTGGCTCAATAGGCTAATCCTCCACCTTGCGGCGCCGGCACACCGGGTTCTAGTCCCGGTTGGGGCGCCGGATTCTGTCCCGGTTGCCCCTCTTCCAGGCCAGCTCTCTGCTATGGCCAGGGAGTGCAGTGGAGGATGGCCCAGGTGCTTGGGCCCTGCACCCCATGGGAGACCAGGAAAAGCACCTGGCTCCTGGCTCCTGCCAGGATCAGCGCGGTGCGCCGGCTGCAGCGGCGGCCATTGGAGGGTGAACCAACGGCAAAAGGAAGACCTTTCTCTCTCTGTCTCTCTCTCTCACTGTCCACTCTGCCTGTCAAAAAAAAAAAAAAAAAAAAAAAAAAAGTATGAAATATTTACAAAAGAGAATACTATGCATCACTGAAAAGAAAACAAAGGTCTGCATCTCCAAGACATACATAATCAGGTGTAAAAAAAAAAAACAAGGTATTAAACAACAATTAGAGTGCAAGCCTGTCGCTCCCCCTCTTCGTGGAGGAACGACGCAGGACCCTGCGCTGTTCTTTTGTCTGCTCGGCCCTTCCCGGGTTTGCTGCTGGTTCTTCCCGGGTTGGCTACCGACCCTTCCACCTCCGTGGAAGGGCGGTTCCCCCTAGCCACTTTCCCCACTTCCGCGGGGGAGCGGCACACCACCGGCCGGCTCTCTCGGGGGCTGCACAGGTGTTCCTTCAGATAGATGTTCCCCTTAGATGTTCCTCGTGCACGTTGTCTCTCTCCTCCTTTATAGTCCTCTTCCACCAATCCCAACTCTGCTACCCACACGCCGAGTACGCTGCTCTCCTCTAATCAGGAGCAGGTCCTACAGTTTATTGGTTGAACTGGAGGCAGCTGCGTAGAAGCTGTTTCTCCCTTCTCAGCGCCATATTGTGGGAGAGCAGATGTATAGAATAAGTCTTAATTCCAGTAACTTAGTCTAGTCCAAGTTGCTCCCAGTTGCTCCCCACACAAGCCCATTTGGGATATGAGGATGTATGTGTGATTTATGTTCACATGTGCATAAAGGGTTATGTTTCTCAGTTTTCTGTTTGTGTTGTGGCTTCCTGTGTAGATACACAAGAGACTATGAACAGCACTCGCTTCTTTAGAAAAATATCAGAGTATGTGTGAGAGGGGGAAGGCTGGAGAATCTACTTCTTATTTTAATACTTTCTGTACTATTCATATTTTAAACAGAGACCTATATTTTAAATTCTATATAGAAATACATAGAAAATATTAATCTAGAAAGATATTCATTGATAGATATTATTGTCATCTAAACTTACTAGCTATCCAAGATACGGAACTACTGTCTCAAAAGTAGAAACATTCAATAGTGCATTTCTTTGATGTTTCATGCACTTCATCTGCCAATAGGATTTGAGTTGGTTGACTAGAAATGACACTTCTGAAAACAGAAGAGTAATACAGAAAGGGTGCTACTGATATTTCAAGAATTTAACAAATCCAAGTATGATTTAACTCTTCTCTCCACAATGAATGCAGCCCCAGATGTGAATCAGCTAACTGTGTTAATGTGCTAAATTCAACTAAGGAAAATGGATGCTGCAGCTGGCATTAAACAGCAAATTGACACAGTGCAGTGTGAAAATCATCCAAAAGTGTGTCTCTTCAATGATCCTATGTGAACATCCTTTGGAATAACAATATGCTCTAAATAGTTCCAAACTTAAATTAATAACATGGATCTTCAAAGTATCATTTTCTTAAAACTGATCAGAGCAATCCATTTGCATGGAGATGCCATTAAGCACCAGGAATATCACTTAACAGATACTTCCAGAACTCCGGCTACAGTTCACCTATGCCTATGATAAGTGTAAGCACTGCTGCAGTTCACCAAGGGGAAGAACCTAGTGTGAGGGAGGAATAATGGGAAGAAAATTAAGATTAGGTCAGAAACTGAACTGTGCTCTAAGAAGAAATTTGGAATTATACTAATGCTGAAGAGACAGAAGGTTAAATATTCAGACTTCAGTGCAAGACAACCGAGTACTGAGGGGGGAGGGGAAAATGATTTTTAGATGTTTAAGGAGAAATAGTGATTAAAATTAGAAAATATGTTTGGATGATGGGGTAGAATAGCCACACATAATAAACTAAAAAAAAAAATGAAGAAAAACACAATAGCCAATATAGAAGAACTATATAGCACCATTAGTAGATACAATGCATATGGCTGTTTCCCTATGACAATGGTTTCAAACATGTGCAGGCACCAGTTTCACATGGATTGTTAAAACGCAGGTTTCTGGGTTACACCTGATCCAGTATCTGATCCAGTAAGTCTGGAATGGGATCAAGGAATTTGCATGTCTAACAAGACCCCATGCTGCTGGTGGTCTGGGAACCACATCTGAAATCCACTTCCCAAGAATAACTTAAAATGCACCAAATGCTGAGTTTCCTCAGAGTCTGTCTCTTCAAAGCACATAGTACAGCAAACCAAAAATGCTGAGGAGAATGGCATCCTCATAGTACCTCAGATAGGTCCAGGCAATCTCTTAAATACAAGTTCCTCTTGAGGAAGCATTTAGAGCCATGAACTCCCCTACAACAGATCCAAGAGATGGAACCAACGTGGACCTGGGGAACTGGACTCCAGGCCCATGGCAATCATCCCAGTGAGAATGATCCTGAGGGAGCAGGAGCAGGATCCACATCTATAGTTCAATGCCAACCTCAGATCACACTGTCAGTTAAGATCCAGTTCCAAGCCTGGAGCTCAAAAACCACGCTAACCTGGGCATTGCACCAAAGAATGCCTTTGATTATGTCACTTTACCAAGTACAATGTATAAATGCATAAACACAAGACCACATGAAGACCTCAAAACCCAGAAATAGACAGCTGACAAGAGCCCATGAGAGTGTCATGAATGAGAATTCTATAATGGCCCATTACCTCCAAAACTGTCACTAGGGACTTCTGCTCACTGGGCCAACCATTAAATTTGTAGGAATAAACAGCTGTCACAGGAATCAGCACAGGCAAGGTCACCAGAAAGATGATGAACAATATACTTTCTAATTATCTAGATGTTGCTGTGAAAATAATTTTTAGACGGGATTAACATCTAAGTCAGTGGACTGAATAAAGCAGATGATCTCCATAATGCGGATGGGTCTCATTCAAGCAGTTGAAGACTTAATAGGAAAAACTGAGGCCCTTGGGAAAGAAAGAACTCTTCCTCCAGACCAACCTGGGGTCTAAGACTACAAGAATCCTTCCTGGCCCTCCAGCTTTCCCACTGCCCATCAATTTTCACACTTATCAGCCCCCATACCTCTGTGAACCAATTCTTTAAAATCCATTCTCTTTTGTCCCCCACCCCCTCACACACACCCATAGGTTCTGTTTCTCTGGAGAGCCCCAAAATCGCCTCTGAAAGCTCACAACCGCACCCACTTACTTAACAATAATTACCTCTATATTTCTAAAAGAAAAGGCCTCTGCTCACCTTTAAAATAACCTTAAAAATGTATGAGTTTATACCACTATGCATAAAACTCAACAAGAAGCAAGTCATTTAACGTAATTGGAACACCTCTCAGTTATGATTATATAAGCTATTCTATTCCCCTGTGAGGTTCAGTAGTGCCAGGGTTTGGCTGTGATTTTTTTGCCAAAGGGTTCATGTGCTGGAAGCTTGGTCCCAGTGTCGTGACTGAAGTGGAGGAACCTTTAAGAGGTTAGATCCACTGTGAGGCAAGCAGTTCATGTGGGTACTACCCTCTAAAGGAATTAATGCTGATCTCCCAAAGTGAATTCATTCCCATGGGACTGGGTTTTATAAAACAAAGATCCAGGACCTTCGCAGGTTTCTTGATTCCCGTCTCACTGTGTGATCTCTTCCATAACCTCTCAGAGCACTGTGAAGCTGTCCACCATCAGCCCTAAACTGGAGCTTGGCAGAAGCCTGTGCCTTACTATCGGACATCCAGAACTAGGAGCTGAATAGGTATTTTCTCTTCATAAAGTACCTAGGCTCAAATATTTTGTTACAGTCACATGGAATGGACTGAGACAAATAGTGAGTACACACTGTAAGGAAAGAACCAGGAACCAACATCTCATGAAGCATCCAACCTGGTCCAGATGCTCTTGGGAATCCATGCTAAACTTCCTCTTCTTGCTGGGCTGTTTCATCTTCTGTTCAGCGCTCTTTAGCTGTGTTTCTCTGCAAAACAGTGCCACATTAAAAAGTTGAAGAATCCTTGCCCTTCAGAATCACAAAAGCACACAAGGAAACAGTCTTGCTATCACTGACTTTTATAAATAACCCGATAATGAGCTGACAAAAATTTCACCATTGGTTTTAGAGCCCCAATATAATCATAAAATAATGGAGTGAGAAAGGTTTTGCTGGCTCATCTAAAATTTGTATCACAAAGAAAAAAGCTATCACTGTTTTCTCTTCTCTGTGACTAAATACATGGATTTTTGCTTAGAGGACTTAGTCCATTAGGATTCACTACAACCTGCCAACGTGGCCCTGTACTCACGTGCTCTGACCGTCCACAGTGTCAAGATAAAGAAAGGTATTTCTGGTAAGAGATCTTAGTCATTCAAGGAATAGATCAGCAATCTGGAACATAAGAAATAAGAAAAAAAATTGCTAATCTAATGATCCAACATGGGAAGTGAGATACACAGCAGACCCATAGAATAGCAGATGTCCTAAACAACACTCTGGCCTCAAAATCAGCCCTTAAGGCATGCGGATCCGGTTGAAAAGCCCATGAGAGTATTTCAGGCATGGAAAGCCAAGACACTCTGGAGGGAAAAAAAACCCTAAATGAAAGATCTCTGCGAGTGAGATCCCAGTGGAAAGAATGGGTCATCAAAGAAGGAGGTACCTTTCTCTGAAGGGAGGAGAGAACCTCCACTTTGACCATGGCCTTGTCTAAATATGATCAGAGTCAGTGAACTCAGGGGGCTTCCATAGCCTTGGCAGCTCATGACAAGAGCCTAGGGTGATTACTGAGGCCATAAACAAGAGGGTCAATTTGTTAATTCAACAACAGGAGTCACTGTGCACTTACTCCTCATGTAGGATCTTTGTCCTTAGTGTGCTGTACATTGAGATTTAATGCTATAACTAGTACTCAAACAGCATTTTTCACTTTATGTTTCTGTGTGGGAGCAAACTGTTGAAATCTTTACTTAATATATGCTAAACTGATCTTCTGTATATAAAGAGAAATGAAAATGAATCTTGATGTGAATGGAAGGGGAGAGGGAGTGGGAAAGGGGAGGGTTGCGGGTGGGAGGGACGTTATGGGGGGGGAAGCCATTGTAATCCATAAGCTGTACTTTGGAAATCTATATTCATTAAATAAAAGTTTGAAAGCAAAAAAAAAAGATTATTTTTCAATATATTAACAGTGTAGACACTATTCCAACAAAAAGTTCTTTGAAATGTATTTTCTATAGAGCAGCTCAACTATTTTGGAGAACCAACAACCAGTTCTGCACCAATACATTGGAGCTAAAATTAGAAAAACAAAAATCGCGAATAACATTAACAATAGCTCTGTGTGTGTGTGTGTGTGTGTGTGTTTAAAAGTTTAATGCCTTAAATCCTCCAAGGTCATCAGTGCTTTTGGACCACAGCCAAGTTTTTCATGGACATTTCCATCTGAGTAATGATACTTACCAAGCTCATCATTTCCTTCCTCGCTACCTCCCAATTCTATTACCTTCCTATTCACATCAATGATTAATGATCACCGATTTGCCCACAACCAACTCTTACAGTTGGTCAGATTGTGCACTGCTCAAGAGCCTAGGACAAGTGGGGCTAAAATCCACCTGAGACTCCATACATACAGTTCTTTCTGCCACAGGGTTGCATCTGCACAGAAGAAAATGCATACTTTCTAATTCAAACAAAACACCTTTGTGGATAATGGCAGCCACACTTGCACTGAGCCAGAGACTGAAGAGTTGCCATCATTTCATTTTTGCAATTCATCGCTTCATCACAGCACATTTGACAAACCATCACTACCACATCTTCATATGTCCAGAAAGAAATGGAAGTTTCTACACCAAGGAGTAGTATCAAAATACAATTTAGCAGCAACTGAATTCCCTTTATATTATTTATTTATCAGAATATTAATTTATTTTTTTCACCTAAACATTTCTTGAATTTAACTTCTTCTACTCCTCCTTTTAAGAATTCTGATCACTGGGCTGGTGCTGTGGCACAGCAGGTAAAGAAAGCTGCCACCTGCAATGCTGGCATCCCATATCAATTCCTGGCTGCTCCACTTCCAATCCAGCTCCCTGCTAATGTACCTGGGACAACAGTGAAAGATGGCCCAAGTGCTTGGGCCCCCACACTCATGTGCAAGAACCAGAAGAAGCTTCTGGCTGCTGGTTTTGGCCTAGCCCAGACCTGGCCATTGAGGCCATTTTGGTAGTGAACCAGCAGATGGAAGCTATCTCTACCCCACACCTCCCTTCTCTCCCTAACTCTGCCTTTCAAATAATAATAATAATAATAATAATAATAAACAGAATTCTGATCACCTCCAAATTATGGTCTATCAACCCAAAAGGCCTTATAGTTGTTTGCTACACAATGTGCCTGCTGTTTCTTAGCCCCAAACTTTTGCTGGTCCCTCAAACTCAACATTCTTCTTACTTGTGCAGGTCTTAAACACGACACTTAACATTTCATATTATACTGTTTTGATTTGCAGATACATCTCTCTAAACATCCTTATGATGAAGATTGTGAACTATTGAATTGTTTTCTATTTTCTAGATTGTACCCAGCTCCGAACATACTCTCAATCTGTTTGTTGACCTGAACTTAATAAACATGTCTTTCATAATTATATGACAGCCTCAAAGCGCTTAAGTACAAGGGAAATTACAAATAGTTCTTGGTCCACACATTACTCCTTTTGCAATGCTATATCACTGTAGGTAGGCTAGTTCTCAAACTTAATTCCTTTCCACTTTTCTTTAATATACAAAATTTAAAAAATTTTAAAAAAACTTCCTCATATTGATTTGCCTCTAGTCGCATGATATTTATGTCCTTAAGACAGGCACTTACTGACTAAATTCAATAGCATCACATTCATTTTGCAGGATGTAAATCCAATTTATCTTGCCTAGCTCCTGGTAATACTCTGAGTTGTCTATGCAAATGAGCAGCTTAAACTTGATGCCTTTAGCAAAGTATTACTGTGGAAGACATCAGCATTGCCCAGGCAGGCTTGCCTGTCACAGTGAATAATACTCCATGGCTTGTCAAACTGAAATCTTCTGGCTATGATGGTCTCCTCACCCTCAAAGTGATCAGCCTCACTAATCCATAGTAATTATTTCAATAACCCTGGTTTGTCTAAAACAACATGAAAGCCTGGATTTATATTATTATATGTCCAGAAAAAAATGAAAGTTTTTACACCAAGGAGTAGTTTCAAAATACAATTCAGTAACAATTGAACTCCCTTTATTATTAGAAATAATGAAGCAAAAAAAGAGGCTTCCAACAGCTCATATAATATTTTACTGCCAAACAATAAAAATAATAAAATAAAATATACTAGAAAATTTTTACAAAGTAGAACAGAATAATGAACAACAGAGAGACAGACAGTCTGACACACAGGAGACTTACAGAGAAGTCTTATATGAGCCTTTGGAATACCATTTTAACCAATACAACAGAACACTTCTTTTGACACAAACTTAATTTGGTTGGTATCTTTGACACAGTATCAAATTACAAGTACTGTTCTGATTGTCCCTGACACAATAAATGGCCCCCTTGGTGGTGGGGTGTGTGTGTGTGTGTGTGTGTGCAAATACCCCATCAGCCATGTGCCTCCCTGCTGAGCTTTAAAGAATTCAAAGTTTTTAGAATCAAGGAAGAATAATGTCAAGTTATAAACACATTAAAGAACAAATTATATAGGGGAAATAAAGGTAAGTGATGACTGGACTGAGCTACTCCTCAGTGTACTTTGGCTCTGCAACACCCAAGAACTAACTATAATAGGCAAGGTGATTATAAATCATTTTAATTAGAGGACCTTGTAAATAGTATTTACATTTTAAAAATATGGCAGATAGCACATGTATATAGCATTTCTGTAGAGAACTTGGAAATACTGTATTGATTTTTCACATAATCCTCTTAATCAGTTTTATCTACCTCCCAGTTAGAAATATGACTGCACATTGTCTAACATGGGGTGGGGAGTGACAACTGTGGGCTGTATAGAAGCCCCGTGAAATCATTTGGTCTGGCTTTGCCAAGGCAACAACAGGCAGGTCACAAAATTGAATAAATCTATAGCAGACTAATTTTTAAGCTGATAAAAACTGGCCCATGAATGATGTCATAAATATCCAAAGGACCCTTGGCAGTAAAAAGGTTCCCCACCCTGCTAACACTGGTCTTCCTGACCTCTTAGTTAGGGAGACAAATTAGACTGCTATTTGAAAAGCATCTGAACACTGTCAACTCTTCCTGTTGCACAGGTCTATTAAACAACAAAAGTAATTTACCACCTGCTTATGTCCAGGTATTATTAGGTAATTCTTTCAAAAAGGATTTATTGATCACCTGTTATCACAACCCACAGCATAACAGGTACATCAGGGATACACAGGTGATTCATCAGACATCCAGGACAGGGAGATAAGCAAAGGAGCTGCAGCCCTATACCCAGGAGAACTGTCCTTCTGCCACTATCCTGGGGCAAGTTCTAACAGCACCACCTTTTGCTCCCGCAATATGCCAGTGTGAACAAATCATACAGCACTGTGTGGTTAAGAGATGTACAGAAATTAATATGAAATGTAGCACATGCCATTACAAATCTCACAGGGACATGAGTGTTCACAGGAGGGAAACATATCCAACAATATCCACTATGGAGGAACAGGTCACCTTCTTCTAGAGTACTGCACAGAATTTAAAATGACTTAACACCAAAATATTGCATACAAGTATCTGAGCATCCTACTGATTTCTTGCTACTTCAAAAATGTTACTAAACTAAAATTTATTCATCCAATTGATACTCAATTGACTGTGTATCCAACTGATACACAGTCATTAGTGTTTAAATAAATCATTTAATTACAACTGAATTCATGTTGTCAACTTATGCATGAAACACTGATCCTTTCTAACTGTATTAATAATAATACCTAATGGGCCCGGCACTGTGGCACAGCGGGTTAATGCCCTGGCCTGAGGCAACGCCATCCCATATGGGAATTGGTTCAAGACCAGGCTGCTCCACTTCCAATCCAGCTCTCTGCTATAGCCTGGGAAAGCCGTGGAGGATGACCCAAGTCCTTGGGTCCCTGCACCCACGTGGAAGACGCGGAGGAGGCTCCTGGCTCCTGGCTTTGGATTGGTGCAGCTCTGGCTGTTGCGGCCAAATGGGGAGTGAACCGTCAGATGGAAGACCTCTCAATTTCTCTCTCTCTCTGCCTCTCCTTTCTCTCTGTGTAACTCAGACCTTCAAATAAATAAATCATAAAAATAAAGAAACAAAGAAATAACAGTTAATAGGGTTGAGCTCTCACATACCAGGCATGGTTATC